AAGTCGTGCAGTTTGGCCAAAAAAAAAAAAAGAATCAGGATATCCAGGAGTGGTTTAACATTAAAAAGACACCTAAAAATTTAATTCACCATATAAACAGAATAAAGCAGAATAAGTAGTCCTTGTAGTAGATGAAAAAAAAATTTTTTTTAACATTCAACATCCACTCATGATCAAAACTGCTACTAGCAAACTAGGAGTAGAAAGGAATTTCCTTGACTGGATAAAAGTTAACTATCAAAACTCCACAGTAATTCTTAATGGTGGAAACCTAAAAGCAGTTCTTTTAAAATCAGGATCAAGTCAAAGTTACCTGTGAACAGCAATTCCATATACCATTGTCTGGGAATTCCAGCTTGTATAGTCAGAAGATGAACACAAAGGAAGAGGACCTATTCTCATAACATCTGGCTTTTAGATGGATGTGGTATCCTTGGGTTTAGAGGGCTTCACAACTTTACATATATGTTACAAATATTTTGCAAGTATACAGTATCACATATCAATTTTTAAAACTTTTTTGGTTTTAGACATTTGAAGACACAGGCCAGAAAATATGATAAAAGCTACAGCTCCTAAGTTCTTTTATTTTGAAGATGGAAAATATTTGAAAGGTAATAGAAATGTTTGCTCAGCAGAAAATAACTTGTCCAAAGTTGGTTGCATCCAGATCCCGACAGAACCTTACAAAAGACAGGTCTTTACCCCCGGAAGGATGGAATAATAGACTAGGGTTGGGACAGCAGTCGGAGACAGTGAAGCCGGCTAGATTGGGCCCTTCCTTCTCCTGGATTCTCATGAGCTCTGCCCTCGATGCCTCTGGGTTTCAGGCTGGGGAACTCAGGCTAGAGTTTTGGGTTAAGGAGATTTTGAGGAGTCAATGAAGCCGCCAGTGGGCCGGAGATGCTCCTTCCTGGACCCAGGATCTACCCTCTCCGCCACTGCCGGCCCGGCCCGGGAGATACCTCTCCCCCTCCTCATTTCCTTCCCACACCCAGCCAAGCCCGACTCTTCGTAGCCAGAGCTGGAGGTCTCCGCTAGGGGAGCAAGCCATGCACCGAGTCAAGGGGCTGCGATTCCGGGGGTGGGGGGGAGGTGTTGATTTACGGGGGTGGCTAGCACTTACCCTAAGTGGGTGCCCACAGCCCTCTGATCCCTGGCAAGGCTAGGGATTTCCTTCCCAACATCAGGCCCATGCCCACCCAACTGTGCCTCCACGGTCAACGCGCGAGCTCGGCGCTCTCCAGCCGTCGCCCTGACCCCTCTCCCGCGCACCTGAGCCTAGAGGTCGCTCCTGGGGCAACCTCCCCGCGCAGCGCAGGCCTTCTCCTCCTCCTCCTCCCCCAAGGATCCAGTCGGCCCCCTCCTTCTCTGTGGCCACGGACTCTCGGCGAGTAGTGCTGCTCCCCGCACCCGCTAGCGGGGGCGGGGCCGCCCCCTTCCCCGGCACAGAAGCGTCTGGGTGAGAGCGCCCCCTCCCGGCTTCACGTAGCTGGTCCTGAGCGGTTCCCTGGGCGCCGCACCGCCTGCTTCCAGAGACCCCTCTTCTTCCCTCTAGGGTGGCCACTGACAGCTCTAGCTCAAGTGGAGCCCCCAGCCTTATGATCCCCCTTGACACCGCCCTCTCTGACCCTCCCGCATCCTGGCCGCTCCTACTCATTGCTCCCCGGTCCTTGGGGCAGAGGAAAGTCCTACCGGGCGCTCCCGCTCCTAGGCGCCCCCCCAGGGTGCGTGTATGCCGCTGTGGATCCTCTCTCTGCTTTCTCACATGCAAGGCCCCTCGCGGCTGACACCTCCTCCACTCCGGTTCTTTATGCTCCGCCTGATCTGATTATTTTTCTGGCCAGGCCACAAGCGTTACTGGAACCCCACCCCATCTGAGCCCGCTGCGGGGTTGGATGGGGTAGGGCCAGCAAAGAAAACTCACCCAACCTCCCAGGTCACTGAGGCCAGTGGGACAGCTTTCCCTTCTTGGCCCAAACGGAAGGGCTTAGAACTTCATTCTAGCATGTTCATTCTCCCCAGGCTTGCATTATTAAGCGTTTTAAGTCTAAATGACTTTGTCTACATTTAATTTCAGGAGTTATGTTTTTCTTTCCTCTCTGCAGGGTCCCTCACTTTATTTCCTTTTATCTGTGTACTCCATCCATCCCATTTGGCTGGCTCTAGAGTTCGCCATTCCATTCTATTTTTTGTTCTTATCAAGAAAAAAAAAAAAAAGAAGAAAGTGTCTGGTTTTGTTGGCATGCATTTTAAGTTTGTGTGAAAAAAATTGCATTATTTTTCATTCAGCTTCTTTTCACTCAACACTAGGATTTCAAGATCAATCCATATAGTTTCCACCCTTTCTAACTGCTGCCTCCCCTCCACAGTGCTCATCCACCATGTTTCACATTTTCCATTTCCTGCCACCACCAGTGAGTGCAATCATCATTCTCAGACGTATCCCCTCAACATATCCCCTCACCTGCAGCACTTCTCACAGTGTGCAAAGTTATCCCTTGGGAGTCTTGTTAAAATGCAGGTTCTGATTCATCACACCTGGGGCGAGGCCTGAGACTCTACATTTGTAGCCAGTTTACAGGTGATGCCTATACTGCTAGCCCTGGGACCACACTTTGAGGAACAAGGCCATTATGGGCCTCTGTGAGAATTCATTTTGGGTTGCTGGGTCACAGGGTATGTGTTGATCTAATTTGATAAGTATTGCCTATCTGCTCTCCAGTCTGGCTGTGCCACCCTACCCCACACCAGCAACGCAGGAGGGTAGAAGATATATATTTATGTGGGGAAGGGAAGAAGGCCTTCTCCTTGCTCCTGCCAAAATCCTGCCTCCCAGTGTGTTTGGTCTGGGCCGAAACCTCCTCTCTCAATCAGAGTGGCCCCAAGGCTCTGGAGTGATGTCCCTGGCTAGCAATGCACGGCCAAGTCAATGATGGGCCCAAGATTGGCATCCTGGCTTCATCTCTGACAGGAGCTTAGAGAACAGGCATTGAGAAGCCCTGGGGTCTTCAGTTAGGTTATATTTCCTCCATTGCTTTCCCTTTAGTAGCCTGTTAGGCTGGACTAGGACTCAAACAACCTGGCCTTGCCATTGGCAAGCAGCTATCCTGTGCCTGACTTCTCATCTCTAAAATGGGATGGTAACAGCATAGCTACAGTTTGTGGTGTGAGGAGTCAGTCCAGAAACTTTGCCTCACATACCAAGTGCCCCACAGGGGCCCCAAGACAGGTGTTCTTGCCTTTGTTTTAACCAAGAGGAAAATGAAGTTCAAGAAGGCTTAGCAATTTTTACCAAAGCCATGGAGCTAGAAAGTGACAATGCTGGGATTCAAACCCAGCTTCAGCTAATACACCAGAGCCCGTGCTAACCATGAACCTATTCCACCTCCATGTCCTGCCTTTGCCCTTGCTACCAGGTCATATTTCAGGGAGAACTGAAAGGAAAAAAGGAGGACTGTGTCTGGGGTTTCAGGAGCTGCTGTTGATGACCAGTGGCCAGATGACCAGAGTTATGAAACTCTGCAGCGAATGGGTTTTAGCAAAAATGAACCTGGGTTCTAGGGGATGGTCCCCAGGGCTTGAGTATTTAGCTGGCAGGAGAGGGGCCTTTTGGTTGAGGGATTTAGGAACAGGGATTTTAGGGTTATGTATATAGTGGGGTCAAGACTAGATTGGGGAGGGTCAGGGATTAGGTGGAGGTCTGGAGTGAGGTGGGGGTCAGGTGGTGGGTCTTATCTATCAAATGTCTTACCTGTAGTAACTGATCACTCACTGTTTTATTTGGAGGGTTAGCTGATGTGTGAACAGCCAGCATCCTGGGCATCAAGGGATGCCACCTTCCAAGGCCCTCCTGGTGCTGTAAGCAGCTTGTTGGATTGGTTTTAGAAACCCGTGGGCCATGCTTTCCCCACTCACATAGCTGTGCAAGACTTTTCCTGGCACCAAGCCCCAGCCCCAAGCATTTCACAATCAGAAGAGTTCGACACCTGCATATTTTGAGATTTCATGGCATACAACCTTTTACATTTTGTTCACATTCGTCCATCTGCTGTTTACCATGGTAGGGCCCCAGTTGTATCCATGACAGAACATTTCTCTGAAGGCCTCGAGAAGCTTCCTGCTCTTTAGAGTTCAATACAATATCGTGCAGTTTTCTGGTCTTTTCAAAGTACTTCACACATAGGTATTATTGCCTTTGACTCACAACAGCTCCATGACAGGACCCACATAATACCAAGGCTCAAAGAAACTAATTGGCCAAGGCCACACATTGCGTAGGTGGGTGAAATGGGACTTCTTGTTTGTTTTTCCATAGCAAACCTCAGGAGTCTTAAAGAGTAAGTGCTCTCTGGGAACCTCACTACACTGGTTGGCCCATTTCCCAGAGGTGGGGATGTGGACTGAGGCAGGAGGTAGAAAGTCTAGGGAGTGGGGGAATGCTTAGGCAGAAAGGTCCGGAAGGTGAGTTGGCTGAGGTCCCATGAGGCTTCTGGCTAGACCTCTCCCAGCTAAGTTTCTGTCAGTGGGCCCTTTCTAGAGCCTGGGGAAGTGGAAAGAGGAGGTTGGTGGGGGGAATGGCAAATACAGAGGTACCCAAGTAGTTCTCTATGAGTCTGAAGCTGAGACAGTTGAGCAGCTGCAAAAAAAAGATGCTGCCAGCTGCTAAGGGGGCCCCAGTGGTGTCACCACATGCATGTGGGAGCTCTTGACGGCTTGGTCAAGCTCTGCCCCTCGCTAAGCCTTCTGCCCTAATGTCTCTTCTCAAAGTCCCTGCGCCCCCACCCCAAGTACCTGCAGCATCAGCTTGAGGGAGGTGCCCAGAGGTCAGGACAGTCTACCCTGCCAGTTCCAGCAACATCATGCATGCCCTGACCAGTCCCAACTAAGGCCTGAAGGTCTGGGGCCTGCTGAGGCAGGAAGGCCCTGGTCCCAACTGCCCTCCCTCTCCCCTGGGCTTCAGGCCCTAGGCCAGGGCTCAACAGACACAAGCAGCAGGATGGGGTTGCCCTTCTATTGGTCCAAGTCCTGAGCATGGCTTGGGTGAGACATGGAGGTGAGGAGGCCCACGAGGCTCAGCAGTGTGGAGAAAAGCAGCAGGAAGGAGGCGGTGAAAAGCAGGGCGGGGAGGGCACTGAGCACCAGCAGCAGGACAGCCGGCAGCAGATGGAGCCACGCTGCAGCTGCCACGGGCCACAAGGAGCTCAGCAGGTGGGAGCCGGTGGTGAAGAGCGCGTGGCACAGCATCAGCACCAGCAGCAGGTAGAGGATCCCCTCCAGGCCCCACAGCACACGCTGCAGCGGTTGCCGCCAGCCTGATGTGGTCCACCACTCTGTCCAGCTTGGGGGCACATGGCACACGCACCAGCGCACCCAGCCCTCCCGCGTGACCCAGGCCGACCAGGGCACCGCACGCTGTGGCCCCTCACCAGCCCCGATGGCATGCGTCTCCGCTCGCGGCTGCTGCATCACCTCTGGTGCACCTGGGGAGAGAGCCACGCCAGCTGCAGGAGCAGCCCTGGAGATGCCTGGCACCTTAGGGTGGGTGAGGGTGCAGGGGTCAGGAGGATACCAGCATGGGTGTGGTGGGGCTTTGAGCTGGGGCATGGGTCTTACCTCTGGGCAGAGCCACCTAGGTCATGTTGCTTCCTGCAGCGCCCAGCCAGAGTGGAGCCCCCACTCTCACTGCCCCCACCCTTCCCAAAGGAGCCCCATTGTGACCTGGACTAGGGTGGGGTCCAGCCAAGAGAGGAAACACTGCAGGATGTGAGGCTTACCTGAGCCTCTTTCATGGACCCTCCAGGCTGGCAGGGAGCCTGGTGAGCCCACAGATGTAGTTTCTCATGTTTTCTTATGGAAAGACCTCTCTGGATCCCTCCTTTCCCTGCTGGCCGATATCCAGTCCCACTCCACTCTCTTGCAGTTCTTTGTCTCTGGACCCTCATTCTCTAGAACCACAGTGGAGGCCAGAATAGTGACCCCTAACCTAGAGGTTCTGAGATGGCTCCATTCCCTGCACTGGGCTCCCTGTCCCTTATCTCACTTTTTACTGATGCCCTCGGACTCAGACCTAGGTATCTACTGTCCACATTGTGGGGAGACCTCAGAGGTCCCCCAAGGTAGGTGCAGGCGGGGGGATAAAGGAGTATTCTCCCACCTTCCCAGACCAGGGTGGAGGAAAGGAGGCCTGAGGAAACAGCATTGTCAGTGTATTTCCGGAGGGCATTCAGGCCCAAGGATGGAGGCAGAAAGCCAGGGCAAGCAGTGCCAAGGGCATGCCGCGGGCTGCCAGGAGTAGCCCCAGGCCCAGGAGCAGCAGCAGCAGAGCCTCCTGGAGGCTGAGTCGTCCTGTGACTGCCACTGTGGGCAGGAGTGGAGCCTACTGCTGCCCTGGACCCTCGCCGGCCCCCTGACTCTGGCCCCCTGTGAGATGTGTGTGCTGTGGCCAGGTGGGACCTGCAGGCCTGTGGAGAGAAAGGGTGGCAGCTGGGCTTTGGGAGGTTGACCCCTTGCTCACCTGCCCAACCTGCCAGGCTGCTGTCCACTTACCGGTGGAGCAGGTCGAAGGCCAGTAAGCTGACCAGTAGCAGCAGCAGCGAGGCTGAGCCAGCTGTGGAAAAGACTGCCCGAATTGCCAGCCCCAGTGCCCCCAGCCCTAGGACACTGTCCAGGACCTGGGCCTGGCTAGGGCCCCAGGGGGACACACATGGACCCACTGGGCTACCCGATCCCTCCCCACACCCACGCCCCTGGAAGGGACTGGGACAGGATAAGCAAGGGCTTTGGGCCTGGGTAAGCAGAGGCGGGTCATGGAGGGAGGTGGAGGTTACAGGAAGGACTAGGGCTGGGAAGGAGTATTGGGGGGAGGACCATGGGAGGGGGTGGGGCCCTGGCAGACACTCAAGGGTGAGCTCAGGCAGTGGGGAGCTGGGCTCCTTAAAAATCTCCCCCTCCCCACGCACCCACCCACCAAACCCTCCTCACCCCCTCCCACTTCAGTCAGCCATTCTGGTGGGTTGGGCGGCTGGAGCATTGTGACCTACTGCCAGGTGGGGACCTGGGGTAAGGAGCAGGCTAATGCTGGTTCTGGCCTCATAAGTAGCGGGTAGCTTAGGCAGAGTTTAGCCAAAGGGAGGTCTGACTTTTGAGAGCTAAGACTAATCCTCTTGTCTTTGCTAATTCTCCGCCCTAGGGCCCTCCGGTGGGGATTTGAGTTGCCAGGAAGGCATTATAACCCCATCACCACCTGGGCAGCTTACCACAGGATGAAGGGCTGCTTGTCTCTCGGGTTCCCGGGGCTGGGTGTCCAGGGGCAAGTCACTCAATCTGTCTGTCCCCAGCTCTCTCCCCTGAAAGTAGGGTGAGGCCTGTGGGCTCTTGTGGGGGATTTTTCAGAACTGCAGTCCTGGAATGCAGAGATAGACTCTGCCAGGAAGCAACCAGAGGCTTTCTGGGGCAGGGCTCCCACATGACCTACTAAATGGGGGTGGGGCAGGAAGGGGCTGTTTAGCTGTTTGAAGCATTGCTGTTTGTGGGAGGTGTTCTGGATACTGGCATTCCAGAAATGGCACAGAGAATGACTGTAAGAGGGCTACAACATAGTAACCCCAAAATTGGAGATTAAGGTCACCCCCCAAGAATGAAATTATGGAAAATGAGCATGTATGAAGGGATTGGTCATCTGGAAAAGAAACCTATCTCCACTAATAATCTGTAGATGGTTACAGAGGTTCAGTTTAGTGACTTGAGAGGCAAGAGTGGAAATGGGTCATAACTGAGAGAACTTAATCCTTGTTCACATATCATACTTCGAAGGAAAACTGATGGAGGTAGGGGTAGGGGGACAGTGACCATACAGGCCCTAGGAGAGGAGGAGACAGAGCAAGGGTCCGGCTGCATATCTGCCTCCAGGGGATTCTGTTCAAAGATTCAAGCCTGGTGACCTTGACATCTTTGGTGGTGGTGAGCTCAACAGTCATAGAGTCAATGCCCCCAGCCCTTGGAACCATTCATTGATTGCCTTTTTCTGAGTCTTCCCAGAGCAATAAAGCAATGCCCACAAAATTCTGAGGGAAAATGATTTACAACCTAGTAACATATCTGTCTAAACGATTATCAAGTATGAGGGTAGAATAAAGACATTTTAAGCCAAACAAGGTTTCAAAAACTTGACCTTGCATACACTCTTTCTTAGGAAGCTACGGGAGCATGTGCTTCAGACAAATAAGGAACTAAACTAAGAAAGAAGTGAGGCTAAACACAGGAGAGTGGTGATGAGAAAGACCTGGGACATCAGCTATGTTTCCAGGTGAAGAAAGCAAGCAACCCAGCCTGGAATCAAAAGATAGATGCTCCAGGAGGGATGTCTCCAGAAGAAAATGAAACTGATTATCTGCCGGGGTTTTTTTGTTTGTTTGTTTGTTTGTTTTCTAATTTATTTATTTTTGGCTGCATTGGGTCTTCGTTGCTGTATGAGGGCTTCTCATTGCAGTGGCTTCTCCTGTTGCAGAGCACGGGCTCTAGGCGCGTGGGCTTCAGTAGTTGTGGCACACGGGCTCAGCTACTCTGCAGCATGTGGGATCCTCCGGGAACAGGGCTCGAACCCATGTCCCCTGCATTGGAAGGCAGATTCTTAACCACTGCGCCACCAGGGAAGTCCCTATCTGCTGTTTTTAGACATATGCAAAATGTTTAGTTCTGTTGGAAGCTTTGGGATTGAATTAGCAACTAGTGCCTTGAAAACCAAGCAAATGATAAAACAAAGTAATTGCTAACTCCAGGGAACAAAAAAAGTTGAACAATAATCTTTACATGGTCATAATATAAGCACTGAATATTGACTCCAGTGATTTAGTTCTTTTGGGAGGATGGCAGGAGGAAATGTGTATGTGTATTTTGGTGTATGTTGGGGGGAGGGGTGGTAGGAAAGCTAAATCCTTAATTCCATAGCAGGAAATCCACAGATAACATCTAAACATAAAAATCCAAGAAATAGCAATAGAAGCATAAAGGTAAATACAAGAAGGAATAACAAACAGAACTAAAAGTGGTTGACTTGAGAATAGAGAAGCATAGAGAAGAATCTTCTGTTACAGGCCTATATGTGATTTACCTTTAAAATTATATTCTGCATGGACTTCCCTGGTGGTCCAGTGAGTAAGACTCCACACTCCCAATGCAGGGGACCCAGGTTTGATCCCTGGTTGGGGAACTAGATCCTGCATGCATGCCACAACTAAGACTCCGCATGCTGCAACTAAGAAGTCTGCATGCTGCAACTGAAAATCCTGCCTGCCTCAACTAAGACCTGGTGTACCCAAAATAAATAAATAAATATATATTTTTAAAGGGTCTTAAAAATTATATTCTGTAGTATTCCGATTAAAATGATTTCATTTAAAACAAGCAAATCAATATAGGGTCCTTTGGTGGAGATCAGGAATATACCCTCCCAGGATGAATGAAATACCAATTTCCTAATGTTACGTGGATGTCCTCATATGGCTTGAGATAAAATTTCCAGTAACAGCATCAAACACCATCAAACTCAGAAAGCTGTGAATCTCATGCATTTTAGATGGAGTTGCTCTAAACCTCCACCTAATGCTTCTCAGCCCACCTGAATCTCCTAGGGTTGAATCCTCTGGGGATCTTTTTAAAATGCAGATTCTGATATAGTAGGTCTCAGCAGGGATTCTGCATTTCTAACAAGCTCCCAGGGGTTGCTGATGCTGTTGGACCTCGGCCACACTTTGAGGAATAAGGCTCTAGAAGACGTTGATGTACAAAAGAGAGATAGCTGGGGGAGGTAGTGGTGAGGGGAGACGGGCACGTGGGGAGATGCTTCTAGGTGCCACAGGAGTCCCCATCAAAGCTCACCTGCATCATAGGGAGAGCACTTAGTGGGGAGTGAGTACCAGGGACAGGAGATTAGGAGGCACAGAGAGGCAGCAGATTTGCCTACTTCTCAATTTGTACAGCCAGACACATAGCCTCCTCTCTTCTCTTGATAATGTTTTATTCCATCTGCATATGTGGGAGCAAGAGGACTGTGTTAAGCTGTTTCCCTACCTTTAATTCATCTGGTAGTGGCCCCCAAGAACCACATATTATCTCACTTCACAGCAACCCAAAGAGGAAGATATTATTGTTCCCATTTTACAGATGAGAAAACTGAGGCTCGGAGAGGTAAAATTACCGCCCAAGGATACGCAAACAAAATGAACAGCAGAAGTAGGATGTGACATTAAGCCTGTGTGGCACCAAAGTCATCTATCGTCTCTGCCTCCAGCCACCTGACCACACTGGGGAGCAACCAGGAGAGTCCCAGACCATCCCTTAAGCCAAAATCCCTTTGAGGCAGGTATCTCCACCCAGTCCAGCTCAGTCTTGCTCATTTGTGCTTTGCAACATAACCTTGCTCTCGGGAGGCCACGAAAAAGCCTCCACCTGGCTCCCAGGGCTAGAGATCTGGCTGTGCAAGTACCTGCACCCTGGAAGCCGCCACCTCTACACCCTGCTTCTGGACTTGGTGCCTTTGCAGCTCTAGGCAACCAAATGGCAAGGGCCAAAGGCAGCAGCTGAGCAGGGAGAACAGGAGGGATGAGCAAGTTAGAAGGTGCGTGAGAAGGTGGGAGATTGGTGGGAGATGGCCAGCATGCCCCGTCCCACCAGTCTCTTTGGGGGCAGGTCTCCCAGTTCATTGCTGGCCAACTCCTTTCCTGTAAAACCTGGCACTGTTGAGGAGGCCAGCTTCCCTCCAGCCCTGCTGGGTTCCCTCTAACCTTGAACATATTATACACATACTTTTTGAGCACTGACTAGAGACCAAGCACTGTTCTAGGCCCTGAGGTACAGCTGTGAACATTTGGGCGCAAAAGGCTCTTGTGGGGTTGCTTACCTTCTGCTGGGTGGGAGTGGGGACCCAGACAAAGAACACATAATAAATAACACAAGATATATTCAGAGAGGGTTGAGTACCTTGAATCAATAACAAAACAGAGTGAGAGGCTGGAGTTTACTTTTGTCAGAATGGTCAGGGAAGTAAGTAACATTGAAAGGCCATCTGAGTGATAGGATACAAACTTGGTGAACCAGTGCAAAGGCCCTGAGGCTGGATGGGGCTGGTGCATTGGAGGAACAGCTAGAATGCCTGTGTGGCTGGAGAGATATGAGCCAGGGGGAGAACACAGGGAGATGAGGTGGGAAAGCTGTGGGTGGGGAAGAACATTTTCAGGAATAGCCTGGAAGGTGAGCGCACTAGGACAATTTGGCTGCGGTGTAGGGAAGGGCTTGGAGGAGGTGGGAGTCTCAGGAGGCTGACCTGTCCTAGCCAGGTTCTGCCCCGACCCTCTCGCACCACTCTGTGAAACTTGGATGAGGGTGGGGCCCGGGAAGTGGGCAGACTGGGTTTTGGCGGGAGGTGGAGTAGTCCTCAGGACTCGTACAGACCCGCTTCTAGCTCCACAGAGCCTCTCGCTGCCTCCCACCTCTGCGAAGCCTGGGGCCGCAGTACCGTCTTTCTGCCGCTGACTCGGCCCGGCGCTTCAGGGACCCTCCGCTTCGGCATGCCTTCCTTGAATTTTTCTAGATCCTCCTCTGGTGACTGGGACCCGGCAGTAGTGTCCAGGCGGGGCGCTCTAAGGCGGGAGCAGGACCCGCGGGGGCCCTGTCCCAGTTACTCCCTTTCGGGGGTTCTCTACCCAGAGCGCATGGGGTGGACCAAATGCCTTGAGGAGCTCCGGGACTCGAGTCTATGAGATCGTTCTTACTGGGGGTGGGTCTCAGTTCCAGGAGCGCATATTCCTTTCGAGAGATCCGACGAGATTGGTGCTGACACGCTGATTTAGGGTAATTCAAATTCTTCACGTGGGTAGTGACCTTGCAGAAAACATTTGCTCAGGGGCCCCGCGCACTCCGGAGGATTCCCGGCCACCTCTGGGCATCTCTTCTTACTTGGGGATGGCAGTGTCTCCCCGGCGGGATCCTTGCAAAGGCAAAGCCCCGGCCAGAGGCGCACAGTGGACGAATGCCTTCCTTCTGGGGAGGCGACCCTGGTGTGGGGGAGCCAAAGGGGACCTCGGAGGGGGATGGGGAGGGTCCTGCGCTCTGGAATCCCGGGGTCGGAGGTGGTCCCGAAGACACAGACCCAGGGCTGCCGGCTCCCAGAGGAGAGTGAGGCGGGGGAGGGCAGAACATGCATCAGCCTCGCCCTCCACCCCCTGCCCCAGCCCGCTGGGCATAGGCTCAGACGCCTCTACTCGGATTATGTAACCCCGGAACGTGGCAGCCGGGTGAGCAAAGGAGAGGAGGCTGGGGAAAGGAAGAAGAGAGGAGAGGCGGGGCGCCGCGGTGGGGGGAGGGTGGGAAGCACCGCCTCTAGCTGGGCCCCTTGGGTGTCCTTCAGAAGAATTCCTGGAGAGCCAGTCCTCCCCCACCCCGTACCCCAGCCGCCGCCTCAGTTTCTTCTCACCCTTCTTTCCGTCCCACCCGTCCTGGCAGGGGGTTCTGACTGGATAGATTTCCCTCTCGGGTTGTAGTTTCCTCCCCAAAGTTCTCGGCTTCGCTACCTAGGCTAAGTCAATTAGCCGCCCTGAGCCTCAGTTTACCAGTTTGTAAGATGAGATTTGTCTGAGATGCCACGGGTAAAGCGCCTGGCACGGGGCATGGTACACAGTAAGTGCCCACTGTGGGACAGGCGCACAGGATCGCGTGGAATCCAGGGTGCAGGGTCTTTGCCGAGAGAGGATAATATGTGGTTAGGTGCGGGCGGCTGGGGCGCGGGGCAGAGAGGGAGGGGGAGGGTCGGCGGGTGCGGAGACCCTGGGCTGCAGCCCTGGCCCCTCCCCGCCCCTGCCTTCCTCTCCCCTCCCCTGCCTACCCCTCGGCTCCAGGGTCCGAGGCCAACTAGCGGGCTGTGGGCGTGTCGAAGGCCGCAGGGGGCGTGCGGCGGCGGCAGGAAGGGGCGGGGGGCTCCCGAGCCCCAGCAGGAAGAGGCGAACCCACCGGCCATCGCGGGAAGAGCGCGTGTCCTCGCTTTGGACCCAGCCATGTGGGGTCTCCTGCTCGCCTTGGCCACCTTCGCGCCTGCCGTCGGGGTGAGTCTGGGGGCGTCCGGCGCCTCGGTGCTGGGCCTGGCGTCGCCCGCGACCACCGAGGCCCCGGTCTCGACCCCGGCCCCGCGTAGCAGCCAGGCAGAGCTGTCCTCAGGGAACAAGAACGGTGAGCTCCCGACCCACGGCCCGCTTCTTCCGCGGGCCGGTTGTCCCACTCCTCCGCCCCCCGTGTGGCGACCCCTCCCCAGCACGCGCACACACACCACACACACGCCACACACGCCACACTCCGTGCCCAGCCCCTGTGTGGCGACCCTTCCCCACGCACACACGCTCCCTGCCCGGTACAATGGCTGCTGAGTCAGCAGCCCCAGTTCCTTGCCAAACCAAGTCAGCAGTCCTGGGACAGGAACCAGTTGGATGCTGCCTCTTCCAGCCCCAAACTTTCCCTTTTCACAGATGAGGAAACTGAGGCCAGAGCCAGGAGGAGGGGAGAAAGAGGTGCAGACAAAGGAGGAGGGTGCAGAGCAAGACTGAGGGCAGGGCGTGGAAGGAAAGAACCGAGGAAGGGAAGAAGAGCTCTCTGCCAGGATGAACGCGGCACTGCCTGGGGAAGGGAGGGGGAAGGCTGCCTGACTTCCCACCTTTTCAGATGTGGGAGTAAGAGGAGGAAAGCAAGGAGATTGGCAGCCTAGGAGGGCTTCTTGGGAGAGGCAAGTGGAACTGGTCCTGAAGGGTATCTCTGAATTAGGAAGAGCTGAAGAGGAGGGCAGCCAAGAAGGAAACAGTCTGTGCAAAGGCACAGGGTACCTAACACAAAAATGTACAGCATGTTCTAGGGGCATCTGTGGAGCTAGGCTGGGTGGGGAACTAGTGGCACCTGCCCTGTGCAATGAATGCTTTGTACTGAAGGGCAGGCAGGGCAGGGGTCCAGCTCTGGAAGGCCTGAGCACCCGGGCAGACATGGATTTGAGGACAGGACATCTCAGCTCAGACGGCAAACAATGATGGAGGTGGTACAGAGGCTTTGGGGCATGAGACCGAGTCTGGAGCTAAGGAAGGCTCCTTGAAGTGTATCTGGGCTGGGATGCAAAGGAAGAATGGGAATTAGGCAATAAAATCAAAGGTGGTGGATCACAGGGAAGGGGACAGCCGGGCAAAGAAGGAGTTAAAAAACCAAATTCAGCTCTTTGGAGTAAGCAGATCGTTCCTAGTGGCAGTGTAGCTCTCTATTGGTGAGGGCCAAGCCGTCAGAGGGGAGAAGGAATCAAGGATGTGGCTGGGGAGGTAGGTTGGGGGTCAGCCTGTGGGCCTTTAAGTCCATGCCAATGTTCTTGGATATGTGTGGTGGGGCCTGTTGTGGACTTGCAGGCTTTCTTGGGCTGGCAGACCTCTCCATCTGGGGCTTTGTGTCATCCTTTCCCTCCCTGGTGCTCTGCCTCCTTGGTCCCCAGGGACCTCAGAACAGCATGTCCGGATTCGAGTCATCAAGAAGAAGATCATCATGAAGAAGCGAAAGAAGCTAACTCCCCCCCGACCCCCGGTGACTGCCAGGGCTTCAGTGACCACCAGCCCTGCAAGGACCCTTGACCTCCCCGAGAAGCAAGAACCAGGTACCACCGTTTCAGGGGCCCTGCCCAGACTTGCAGTCTCTGGGGCACAAACTAATGTAGCTCTTGGTCTCCTGGGCATAGACATGCCCCCAGCCTGTCCAACACACTGGCAAGCTTAGGCTCAGCTTCCTATGTGCCCTGACCACTCTTTCTCTGGTCCCATTTTACTGCTCTGTCCCTGTCCCAGACTGTCCCCCTTTGGGCCTGGAGTCCCTGCGAGTTTCAGATAACCAGCTTGATGCATCTAGCAGCCAGTCCTTTGGTCTTGGACCACACCGAGGACGGCTCAACATCCAGGTCAGCAAGGCAACCCCTACGACCTGCTTACTTGCCCTCCCACCTTCGGTTAAGGCTTACCCCATACTGCCTACCTGGTTGTGATTACTATGTCCTGTGCCCACAGTCAGGCCTGGAGGATGGTGATCTTTTTGATGGTGCCTGGTGTGCCGAGCAGCAGGATGCCGAGCCATGGCTTCAGGTGGATGCTAGGCACCCCACCCACTTCTCAGGCATTATCACACAGGGCAGGAACTCCATCTGGAGGTGAGGCAGGATATCTCCAGACCAGGGAAGTCATGGGCAGACTCAGGAGGACTGGGGTGGGAGTCCTGGGAGCCACCCATCATCTCTACCCATCTTTCCTGCCAGGTATGACTGGGTCACATCATACAAGGTCCAGTTCAGCAATGACAGTCTTACCTGGTGGGGGAGTAAGAATCGCAGCAGTGGGATGGACGCGGTGAGAGGTCCCATGGTGGCTGGGGCCCTCTATGCTGAGAGTTGGGCTCCTGGCCCACTGTAGGGTGCTGGGCTGGGCTGGGGCTCCTCTGAGGACAAGGAACAGGTGTCCACTTGGGCATCCCAGGAGAAGGGGGGTTGTTGTCAGGATGGGTGGCACCCAGCAGACAGCCTTGGGAGGCAGGCTGCTTTGGATGCCTGTATCCTCCCCCAATCCTTCCTCCATGCCACAGCCTCCTGCTGGAACACCCTTTCTGGTGATGGGCCCCTGGTCCTTGCATCACTTCTCACCTCCTCATAGCTCTGGCTTCCCCATCTCAATGACCCCTTTTTACCCCAGGCTACAGTGTGGGGTCCTGGCCACCTCTAGGATTGGCTGCTCCTGAGTCACATGGCCATATTGGTCTAATGAGCTGTGACCAAAATGGAAAGTGTGGCTGCCTAGGGCTGCCTGCTGGCAAAGGCTGTGGGCAGCGGTCTGTGTTTGACACAGTGGGCAAGTCTCCAGCTGAGCCTACCGGGGTGGATTTTTCAGTGAGCTCAGCGGCCTGAGCTCCTTCCCTGGGCCCTCCGCCAGGCTGGCTGCTGGGGTTCAAGCCACCCTTACAAAGAACTTGATGCCCCCAGGTATTTCCTGCCAATTCGGACCCAGAGACACCAGTGCTGAACCTCCTGCCTGAGCCGCAGGTGGCCCGTTTCATTCGCCTGCTGCCCCAGACCTGGCTCCAGGGAGGTGCATCCTGCCTCCGGGCAGAGATCCTGGCCTGTCCAGTCTCAGGTGGGCTGTAAGACAAGGGTTGGATGGGCAGGGCGCACCCTCCACTGGGAACTCCCCCTTTATTGGGAACTCATCCTCTACCAGATCCTAATGGTCTGTTCCCTGAGGTCCCTGTGCTGGGATCCTCCGACACACTGGACTTCCGGCATCATGATTATAAAGCCATGAGGAAGGTAACCCCTATGACCCAGGAGGGAGGATCTGCCCATCTCAGGTCCTCTGCCTACCAGGGCATAACTGGCTATGATTGCCCTCATGTCCACCCTCATCTCACCCTCCTGTTGACCCCTAAACTGCCCCAGTTTCCCTTGTTATGGCGCCTCCCTTATTCTGACCCTTCCTTCTGGTCTGCTGCTGCCCACTCCTGTACTGTGCCATGGTGTCCCCATCTGTATGGGCCACCACAAGCTTTTGAAGTCCTTCCGTGGCCACATGTGGTCTGACCCCTGGGTCTGATCCTCCCATGCCCTGCACCGTGGGAGGTGCACTCCGCCCCCCAGCTGATGAAGCAGGTGAACGAGCAGTGCCCCAACATCACCCGCGTCTACAGCATCGGGAAGAGCCACCAGGGCCTGAAGCTGTATGTGATGGAAATGTCGGACCAGCCTGGGGAGCATGAGCTGGGTACTGGCAGGTGGGGTGGGAGAGGTGGGCACAGTGGCGGGGAGGGGCAGGGGCACGAGCCAGTTGCGAGCACCTGTGTGCTCCCAGGAGAGCCTGAGGTGCGCTACGTGGCCGGCATGCATGGGAATGAGGCCCTGGGGCGGGAGTTGCTCCTGCTCCTAATGCAGTTCCTGTGCCGTGAGTACCTGAGAGGGGACCCGCGGGTGACCCGGCTGCTCACCGAGACGCGCATTCACCTGCTGCCCTCCATGAACCCTGACGGCTATGAGACTGCCTTCCGCCGGGTAGGCCACTTGGCCCGAGGGCCAGCCTGCTCCTTCTGTCGTGGTGCCCGGAGCCTGCTTGGCTTGAACAAACTTCGTCCCTGGCAGGGCTCGGAGCTGGTGGGCTGGGCAGAGGGCCGCTGGAACCATCAGGGCATTGACCTTAACCATAATTTTGCTGACCTCAACACACCACTGTGGGAAGCAGAGGATGATGGGCTGGTGCCTGACACTGTCCCCAACCATCACCTGCCACTGCCTACTTACTACACCCTGCCCAATGCCACTGTGAGTATTCTGGGGGCAGTGGTGGAGGGCCACCCTAGGGGCCTTTGTCTCTGTCTCCCACCCCCCTGACCTGCCCTTGTCCAGGTGGCTCCTGAAACGCGGGCAGTGATCAAGTGGATGGAACGGATCCCTTTTGTGCTAAGTGCCAACCTCCACGGGGGTGAGCTCGTGGTGTCCTATCCCTTCGACATGACTCGGACTCCGTGGGCTGCCCGTGAACTCACGCCCACCCCAGATGAGGCAGTGTTTCGCTGGCTCAGCACTGTCTATGCTGGCACTAATTGGGCAATGCAGGACCCAGATCGCCGACCCTGCCACAGCCAGGACTTCTCCTCGTATGGCAACATCATCAACGGGGCTGACTGGCACACAGTTCCTGGGAGTATGTGCCCAAGGGTGGGGTTAGCTCCGTCCCCATAACTCTGCCCAATAAGACAGTCTGCTCTCACATAACCACTGGTGTCAACTGTCACCAGGAAGTGTCTCCCAGAGGAGGGCACCAGGAGGGCAGGGCTTCCATCCCGCCCCTTTAGGCTCCAGTGTCTGTGGTACCCCTAGGCATGAATGACTTCAGCTACCTACACACCAACTGCTTTGAGGTCACTGTGGAGCTGTCCTGTGACAAGTTCCCTCACGAGAACGAGCTGCGCCAGGAGTGGGAGAACAACAAAGATGCCCTTCTCACCTACCTGGAACAGGTCGGACCTGAATCCCCCCTGTGCCCAGCCTGCCCGAGTCACTCCTGACTGGTCTCTTCTCCATGTTGATGCACCTCCCAATAGGGAACTGAGCCTAAGGTCAGGCTGAGCATTCTGACTCACAGGTGCCATGGGTCACACTCACTCAGCATCAGATTGACTTGGAGGGATACAGGACAGGAATCACAGTTTGCCAGCGGGGTGGCGTAAGACATTGTTAGCGGGTGGGAATAGACCTGACAGCAGTCCAGGCAATTGTCCATAGAGCTGATCCAGAGCTGTTCTCAGAAAAGAGTCCAATTTTGCAAGTGCAGGAAATGCCCTGGCATAGACACTTCACTTTTCACGGAACTCATGTCCCTTGGAATGACTCCGTAAGTATAGTTTCCAAGAGTTCTAAAACACAAGGCCAATAACAAGAGTCACTGAACTCGGGAAAGTCCATAGATATGCCCTCCTGCCAGGCATTTATAGTTCTCCCAATCCAGGTGCAATTTGTCGATCAGGAGATATTTTCACCAGAGTATTGTCACGTAGAAACAGAGTAGACGCACCACCTCTATCAAATTTGTGGGGAACAGAGCCAGAAAATGAACTGAAGGCCACGTTTTCACACAGAAGGAAAGGGGTTTTGATAACCTTTTCCCACACAGGTGCGCATGGGCATTGCCGGAGTTGTGAGGGACAAGGACACGGAGATTGGGATTGCTGATGCTGTCATTGCTGTGGATGGGATTAACCATGATGTAACAACGGGTGGGTGTGTCGGGGAGGGGGTGGGGGGAGGTGTGGGAGGCTTTAGCTGGGTCAGAAGCTGAGGACCACTGGACTCTGATCTTGCCTTTCACTCCTCTCAGCGTGGGGCGGGGATTATTGGCGCCTGCTGACCCCAGGGGACTATGTGGTGACTGCCAGTGCTGAGGGCTACCACGCAGCGACTCGGAACTGCCGGGTCACCTTTGAAGAGGGCCCTGTGCCCTGCAATTTCCACCTCACCAAGACTCCCAAACAGAGACTTCGAGAGCTGCTGGCAGCTGGGGCCAAGGTGCCCCCGGACCTTAGGAGGCGGCTGGAGCGACTGAGGGGACAGAATTAACACTAGCCGAAGAGTCCCAGAGCCTTGGGCAGGCTGGACCTGTCCAGAACTGAAGGAGGGGACACGGAGAGTTGGGAGGGAGGGACAAAGTAGGGGGAAAGATGCTCAGGCTCATTAAAGCTATTTGGCACCTCAGCCAGTCTTCCTGTGGTCTCTGTGTCCCGGGTCCTCCACCTGGGCCAGCCCTCAGCTTCCCCGATCCTATTCTGCACACACTTGCGTACTCTCATCAGTCGACTTCTGGAAAAATAGTGTGGAAAGCGGATCCCACCTGGGCTCTTCCTGAGCCAGGGCTTGATAGAGCACCTCTTCAACCCATCAACTTCTGTGGCAGACACCACTTGGTGCTGTGAAGCATTCTGTAAGCACCTGCTCAGCGCCACGCATGCAAGGAGTCAAGGATAAACAGTGCCCATCAACTTCCTGGGGCTCCCAGTCAAGAGAGGGGACAAGCGTGCCAAGGTGGACGCTGGCTGCTCTGGGAGCAGAGACTGGGGAGGTGTACACATGGGAGTGAAATACAGCGCTGCAGGTCAGTCAGGATGCAATAGAGGTGACGGTTCTCGAAGTTTAGGTGGGAGGCGGGTATGGTGTCGGGGTGTGGACAGGGACAGCTTCAAGGAGAAAACTAGAGAGAGAACAGCTGAGAGCATTTGGGTTTGCTTCACCAGCCATTTTGGAGAGTGTTGGTAAATGACAGCATTCGATTCATTTCTTTCAGACTGAAAGGGAAGTTATGTGTCGGTCATTATCTTGCCAGGAAAATAACCCACTCTAGATATTTCAAGAAGGGGAATTTAATGCTGGACATTGGGTATAAATGTGTTGGAAGAGGGCTTCCCTGGTGGTGCAGTAGTTGAGAATCCACCTGCCAATGCAGGGGACACAGGTTCGAGCCCTGGTCCGGGAAGATCCCACATGCTGCAGAGCAGCTAGGCCCGGGCGCTACAACTACTGAGCCTGCGCTCTAGGGCCCGCAAGCCACAGCTACTGAGCCAATGCACCACAACTACTGAAGCCTGCACGCCTGGAGCCCATGCTTCACAACAAGAGAAGCCACTGCAATGAGAAGCCGGAGGACACAGCTAGAGAAAGCCCGCACGCAACAACGAAGACCCAACGCAGCCAAAAATAAAATTAAAAAAATATATATTCCAATGAATGAAACATACCAAATGTCAGTAATAAGCAAGACACATTCCTTTGGGAAAACTGTTAAAAAAAAAAATCCAGTCTGTATATGCAAATAAAGCAAGGAAATGCAGTCTTTAAAAAAAAAAAGATGTTGGAAGAGCTGGATGAGAAAAAGGGAGAAGGGAGTTTTACTTAGAAGTCAGGAAGCTGATAACACCCTTGGTTTGGGTTTTTTGTTTATTAGTATTGTTTGGCTGTTGGGTCTTTTTTGCTGTGCGCGGGCTTTCTCTAGTTGTGGCGAGTGGGGGCTACTCTTGAGGTGCGCGGGCTTCTCAGTGCGGTGGCTTCTCTTGTTGCGGAGCATGGACTGTAGGCGTGCGGGCTTCAGTAGTTGTGGCGCGCAGGCTTAGTTGCTCCGCGGCATGTGGGATCTTCCTGGACCAGGGCTCAAACCTGTGTCCCCTGCATTGGCAGGTGGATTCTTAACCACTGCGCCACGAGGGAAATCCTGGTCTGGTGTTTATAAGCCTGATGTTGGTGCTGGTGCTGGAGCCCACAATCACCTGTGGCCACCAGTAGCCAGCTGTGATCACTTGTGGTTGCCTGGTGTGGCTGGAGTCAGAAAGATTTCTCCCTTCCTTCCATTTTCTAATCTCCAACCTATGAAGTCCACTGGCAAAATCTAACTGTAACCTAGTTTGCAAAGAAGTCCACAAAATGTAGTTTCCAGGCACCTTAAGCCCCCTGCAATTCAGAGGAGAGCTTGCAAGGGCAGGAATGTGGCAAATACTAACAGGCAAACTATGGCACAAAGACATCCATGTAGCCTATTATGTAAGCTTTGCCTAGTGCTGGGCTGTTGTATTGTCTCTGCCTGTCTCTCATTTTCAATCTCAGATCACCATGAGGGATTTAGTACCACATCTCCCATCTCCCTGCTCCTTTTCTCCCCACCTCCAATGCTTCTTATACAGCAAAACTTTTTCCAAAAAAAAAAAAATTTATTCATTGAAGTTTAATATATATAATTAGAAGTACACATAAGTGCACAGCTTATTGGCACAGTAAATTAGAAGACATGACTCGACTGTAATTACAACAAACTCTAAGTGTAAAGATACAGGCACCTTGAAAGTAAGAGGATAAAAAAAGGTGTATCATGCAACATTAATTAAAGGAAAGCAGGAGTGGCTATCTTAATATCAGATAAAGCTGACTTCAGGGCAAAGAAAATTACCAGAGACAGAAAGGGACATTATATAATGATATAACTGAACACAGCCAGCCTTGTCTGCTGGAAGTTTCCAGTGAATCTTTCCCTTCTCTCTTAGGTACCCTAGAAATAGCTAGTTCAGCATAACTGAAATGACATGTGAACTCAAGCTCTGAATTTCCCCCATTTCTAGTAAGACATTTCCCTGGCCAGCAAACTCCCTCTGTTACATAGTTGTCAAGGAATTCCAAGGTTCCTTCTACTTTCCTCATAAATATGCAAAGTGGCATGAAAATGGGGCCCCTCTCCTGCTCTTTTAACAGCGAGATCAGCCCTTCCTGGCCTAGCAAGCCATCTTTCGGATAATGGGACTTTGAGGCATTATATGCATGATCCCAGCTCTTTGCTGAGAAGTTCCCTCCAATAAACCCTTATTTGTATCTGTACCATGTGTCATTAGAGGTGTTTGTCTTTGCATTATGCTTGACATATATGACAAGATGAAGAACACTCAGCGTAATCTAGTAAAACTGAAGGCACACATGCCCCTATTCCTGGGTATACAATATATACTATAGGGAAACCCTTGCACATGTACAAAAAGATACGTGAATGCATATAGCAGCTTTAGTTACAGTAGGCTCTAATTGGAATCAACCCCCAAATCCATCAAGAGTAGATTGGAGGGCTTCGCTGGTGGCGCAGTGGTTGAGAGTCCGCCTGCCGATGCAGGGCCACGGGTTCGTGCCCCGGTCCGGGAAGATCCCACATGCCGCGGAGTGGCTGCGCCCGTGAGCCATGGCCACTGGGCCTGCACGTCCGGAGCCTGTGCTCCACAACGGGAGAGACCACAACAGTGAGAGGCCTGCGTACCGCAAAAAACAAAACAAAACAAAACAAAACAAAAACAACAAAAAAAAAGAGTAGACTGGAGAGTAAAATATGGTACATTTATACAATGGAATTTTATACAGGATGAAAACAAACAACCACTATACACAACATGGATGACTCACAAAAACAATTTTGAGTGAAATAAGCAAAGCACAAAAGGAAAATTATATTGTTTATGGATTGCATAAAATAATAAAAGCAAGGGTATGATTATGATAAAAGTTAGGATAGTGATTGATTCTGGGAAGATCAATGGAGCAACAGTCAAGGAGGAGAACATGGCAGGGGGTGGGGAGGCTCCTGAAGTGCTAGTAACATTTTTTTTCTTTACCTGATGAGAATCCTTTGGTGTTCACTTAAAAATATATGTTAAATTTTGTGTGAACATTTTATGTACTTAAAGTATCCATTTTCATTTATTAAAAATTTGCATATAATAAAATTCACTTTTTGGATGTACATTTCAATGAGTCATGCACAAAGGTGCTTGTAACCACCACCATAGACACAGACATAAAGAATTCACTTGTGCCATCCCTTGTATTCAGACTCTCCTCCCATCCCAACCCTAGGCAACCACTGATCATATTTCTGTTCTTACATCTTTGTTTTAGCTCAGTGAATTCTCAGCAGGATTAACCTAAAAAGCTCTACATCTAGACATATTATCAAACTGTCAAAAACCAAAGACAAAGAGAGAATCTTGAAAGTGGCAAGAGAGAAGCGACTCATCATGTACAAGGGACAAAAAAGAGATCTTTTGTCCACTTAAAAATTTGGGTGGTTTTCTTATTTTTGAGTTTTGAGAGTTGGATATAAGTCCTTTGTCTGATAAGTGACTTGCGAATATTTTCTCCAATCTCTTGCTTATCTTTTAATTCTCTTGCTAGTGTTCTTTGCAGAGAAGTTTTAAATTTTAAAAAGTTTAGTTTATCAATTTTTTCTTTTATAGGTGGTACTTTTGTGTGCTATCTGAGAATTCTTTGACTGACCAAAAATCATGAAGATATTTTTTCCTATATTTTCTTCTGAGAGTTTTATAGTTTTACATATTACATTTAGGTTTATGATCCCTTTGAGTTAATTTTTATATATGTGAGATGTAAATTGAGGTGTTTTTTGTTTTTGTTTGTTTTTTAATCTTTTAAAATTTTTGGCTGTGTTTGGTCTTCATTGCAGTGCGTGGGCTTCAGTGGCTGCAGCACACGGGCTCAGTAGTTGTGGCACACTGGCCCTAGAGTGCGCAGTCTTCAGTAGCTGTGGCTCGAGGGCTCTAGAGAGCAGGCTCAGTAGTTGTGGCGCACGGGCTTAGTTGCTCTGAGGCATGTGGAATCTTCCCAGACCAGGGATCGAACCCATGTTTCCTGCACTGGCAGGCAGATTCTTAACCACTGCACCACCAGGGAAGTCCCTGTTTGTTTGTTTTTTGCATATGGAGGTCCAGTATTTTTACAGCACCTTTTGGTGAAAAGACTGTTCTTTCTCCATTGAAATGCCTTTATACCTTTGTTAAAAATCTGTTGACCGTATTGATATGGGTCTACTTCTGGAATTTTTAGTCCATTGCATTGGTATGCATCTATTCTTTCACCAATACCACACTGTCTTGACTACTGTAGTTTTATGATACATTTGGCAATTGGGTAGTATGCACATGAATGAAGAATGAAGAAATTCAGAAGAATGAAGAATGCAAAAGAATGAAGTTGCAAAAGAATGAATTTGGACTCTTACCTTATGTCATATACAAAAATTAACTCAAAATGTATCAAAAATCTAAACTTAAGAGTTAAAACTATAAAACTCCTAGAAGAAAAAGGAGAAATCTTCATGACATTCGGTTTGTCAATGATTTCTTGGATATGACATCAAAAGCACAAGCAACAAGGGAAAA